ACGATCTGCAGTCTCTTAAGAGCAGTTCTTGGCAAAATAGAGACCAAAAATGAATTTTTAATTCTACCTTCTCTGATTTGTATTATGGAGATCATGGTAGGCCGGGTTGCAAAGTTGACGTGTTTTGATTTTTGCAGCTGCATTTTTTTCGAGTTAATTTTTATCAATTTATAAACTTTTAAAACGCGTTTGATGATGTCAATGGTGTTTTTAGCATTTGTGGTAAAGGTAAACAGCTTTAAATATGTATCCTAGTCAAGGGAAGCCAATTCCAAAAAATGAAGCTTTAAAGTGCCCGGTTGAGTTTGTTTAGGAGAATACGTCATTTGCCGATTTCTCGCGTATTAAAGCTTAATCTAAAAAAAAAAACTAACAGCACACACAGGCAGACGAATGGTTCCTGTATCATTTGGTATAGTTTGTTCACAAGATTGACCCTTAATTCGCGAGAAATCGGCGATTGACACACAGCAAAAAAATAATTTTGATATCACATCAAAGTGGATGCACTACAATCATGTCGAAAATTTCATGTAATTTTTATGACCACATAAATAAACAAATGCAGTAAAAGCAGCGTAATGTCAGTTCATGCATTGTATTAATGATAATTTTGTCCTTTTTAGCAAGCTATATTACACCATATTTTCGACATGATTGTAGTGCATCCACTTTGACGTGATATCAAAATTATTTTTTTGCTGTGCATGTTTGTTTACAAAAGAAATTACGCCCAAATCTCAAAGTTCTCCGGAATTGTTACACGGATGTCAGAAGGGTCTAATCGAAGACTACAAATCAAGAAGACTGGCAACTCTGCCAAAAATCAGCAGACAGTAACGGCAACGCCGCTTCTGAGCAAAAGTGGAACCTGTGTATGATGGTATGTGTTAATTCACGAGTGCATTCACACATATAGGTAGACATAAATAGCTATCAATTAATGGTTTTGTTATGATTGTCGTAAAAAGTGAAACGTTTCTTTCTTAGCTTTATGCTGACAACGAGTAAAATTCCAGCTAAAATTGAACAGATGCGTAAATTAATTTGTTTTGAAAATTAAAACTATGGCAATGGTGCTATTCACAATGATGGTGGGACCTTCCTCGATCATTAATTTGCTATCTCAGCCTTCAGTGATGCATTTATGGGCATTCGTAAAATACATGCACGTTCCGCACGGCTTTGGAACTTGGCCACAGGAAGGGGGGTTAAGTTGTGACGCTCGGCAACTTGGCACAGTACTTGCTGACTTGCTGGAAGGAGTCGGTCGATTCCAAAAATTGTTAAAGCATACAGAGGATCACTATCCGGTGGTTTCATGTTCTGACAACATATTAAATGGAAATATATTCTTTAACAATACGTTTGGGATTGTAGTCCTTCAACCTTTCATTTTTATTGTCTCCAAAATTATATCCTGCTACGCCTTCCGAATGATCGTGATGTAGGTACCGGATCTTTCTTCTTTTAGAATCCTTGAATATTTAGCAGCTTCCGAATGACGGTAGTTCACTCAATGGTGGTGGAAGCTGCCAATTCCTTATAATTGATTGCTTCCAACAGGCAAAATAAACAACATTTCGGTTCCTCGTTCACAAGTTAAAGTTACTTTCACTAGGTATCGATCCGAGTTTCAATCCTCTACTTGATCCACCATGACAAGTTTTTCGGTTTGGATTTGGAAAACCACCGGCTTGCTGGGATTAGGATGCAAATTGCCGTGAAATTTTGTAGAGCAAAACAAAAACAACAACGAGTACCGGCGCTGTTATCAGTGACGTTTGATATTTGTATGGGAGAAGAGAACAGTTCCTAGACAACCAGAAGTCGTATAACAATGTACAGACACTATCGTAAATTGCTACAGTTTAAGTTAAAATCGCATATAAGAATGGCATACCTCGCATTATGTTTAAGTTAAATCGTATAGAATGCAAACTTCCGACCTATATGCGATGACTCATTTTTCCGTCGTACTGTTTCACAAATTAAATCGGATTACATCGTAAGACTTTTAAAAATGAATTTGTTATTTCAGATTAAATCGTATTTGATGTTAAATCAACTCGTTTAAAATTAAATTAAAATATGCACGTATATGGCCTCCACTTTTATACGTATAAGCCATTTATTTGCATTCTATACGAATTGTTTGTTTGTATATATGTTTGTATATCATGAAAACTAGAGTCGGTGTATAATGAGTCACGCCAAGAGTGAAGCCAAGTCTACCTATTGAACTGTCAAACCGGCTACCTATCGTGCAAAGAAAACAAACATTACGATGCTATGAAAGGTCCACGAAAGGTAATGCAATAAAATATAAAATATAATTGGAAAAATTATCATAATCACGCACTGAGCATTAAATTGTAATGGGATACGTTTGGCAATGATCAGTAATGAGAATTTCTACTATTTTTTGGTAAGATAATTTGATAAAATTACTGATATAAGGATTTACTACAGCCGCTATTTTTTTTTTCTCGCTAGAAGTCATTTGAAGTTGATGTAAAAGTCCTCTGTTGCCAAGTGAAAAGAAAGGGAATCTTTCGAAAACCGTGATGCGAGTTCAACTGTTTTTCTCTTGGCGTGACTCATTATACACCGACTCTAATGAAAACAACTTTGAATATACGTGCATTCTGGTTGTCTGGGTTGCCAGTCTTCTTGATTTGTAGTCTTCGGTCTAACTCGAAACGTAAACAATGACTTGGATCGTCGGTTTCTTACGAATGACAACACACCCACTCAAACTAACTAAATAATCTGACAGAACAATGCTTGTTTTATGAGCTGGTGTAGTCAGATTCAGTGTGTGGTCATTCAAGAGAAATCGACGTTCAAAGTCATTGTTTACGTTTCGAGTTATACCCTTCTGACAAGTTCCCCCTGAACACTTCACTAGTGAAAACGAGCCACCTCCCCTCACACGCCGAATAGAGCTAAGAGGGAATATTTCCCAAAATCCAGAACTTAGTAGAAGATATTCTGAATTTGACAGATGTATTCATTACTCAAAAGTGAGTACCTATGAGTTTTATCACTTTAGAGTAGTTCCACTTTTAACGAAAGTGAGTAGCTTTATACTCATTTTTGAGTAAAATTGAACGAGTGTGTACGATATTGCTATAAGTCATACGATAAATACTAGGGAAAATCCAATTTTTTTAAGAATACAACGTAAATTGAAGGCTTTCGAGCTTCAGAAGAGAAAACTTTTCCTAAAATGAAATTTCCCTACTGTTATGACTTCAGTATTTGCAACCTCTGTTTGAAGACGGTGTCAATTACCTTTTCTAAATTAACGAGATTCAAAAGGATGGTGGCCGCATTACGTTTGCTAAACTTATTTATAAAACTTCGGTAAAGTACATGGAACTGCGGAGAAATCACGGGACTTGGAAGGACTTCATGAAACTTGAAAGTTTGTAAAAGTTCACAGAACTTGGGATAAGGTTACGGAACTTGGAAGAAGTTCGGAAAAGTTCACAGAAATTGGGAGAAGCTTATATAAATTGTAAGAAGTTACCAAAACTTGGTAAGTTCATGGATCTTGAAAGTTCGGAAAAGTTCACAGAAATTGGGAGGAGTTAACAACAACACTTGGGATAAGGCTACGGAACTTGGGAGAAGTTCGGAAAAGTTCACAGAAATTGCGAGAAGCTGAAATAAATTAGATGAAGTTACAATAGCTTGGTAGAAGTTTGGGTAACCTAGAAGAATTTGGGAGAAGTTCACAGAATTGAGATTAAGTTCATGAAACATAAAAAATGTTCACGAAGCGAAGTTCTTGAAATTTAAGGTCACGGATATTGGGAAAAGTTCACGGAAATTTCCAGAAATTCACGGAACTTCTTTACCTTGAAATTTTACCAAAAGTTTCCTTGGTACTTCCGAAATAATGGAATTTGAGAGAATTTACGAGAGCTGGAAGAAATTCATGAAACTTAGGAAAAGTTCATGGAACGTAAAAGAAGTTCACGGAATTGCAATAAAGTTCATGCACCATGGAAAAATACGCTTGAAGTTCATTGAACTTCCCAAAAGTTTACTTAGAACTTCCAACAAATTAATTAACAATCCTGCTAAGAACTTCTCACAAGTTGTCTTGGATATTGCCACAAGCTCGTTTGGAACATCTTACAAGTGCCGTTGGTATTTCTGACAAGTTACCTAGGAACTGTCCAAAAGTTTCATTGGAACCTCTCACGTGTTACTTGTAACTTCTCACAAGTTTTTCATACTAACAAAACGTAAACTGACTGAGTGGCTCACACTCGAGCTCACACTCAAGCAAAATAGCAATCCGGCACAGAGTGTTAGCGGGCTATCAATTTTGAAAACTAATAAGCTGGTACATGGGGCTCGGAAATAGGGAAAGAGATCCATTTAGAGTCTCCCATGGCAGTGCTCTTACCAAACTAAAAAAAAAAGTGTAACGACTCTTTTGGATTTTCTTTTCAAAAAGTAGACGATCAAGACCCTAGGAATTCTAGTGTTATCACAAATTAAATTCATCAAGAAATGAGTTAGTTATGTCATTGTGAACTTGCCGTTACACGTTTTTTGGATGCACCGTGTTCGGTGTGTTAAAGAAAATGTACGCTCACAGATCATGGTTTCACGAATTGATAATGGGAAAGCTATGAAAAACCACGTGTTTCCATTTTAGCCCATGGCACACTGGGGGCACAATGGTTCTTTTGTTGGGAAAAAATCGAACAGGATTGTATTCTTCAGCAAATTTTATACGTCTTCGAAAAAGTTGTAACAAACAAGCGCTACGATTTTTGACCAACAAAGTACCCTGGAAAATTGCGTATTTCGAGCTATTTCCAATTACCGTCAGGATTAGGGTGACCGTATTTTCATAGATCCTGTATCAGCAACGCAATACAGAGTGCATCTGAATTTTTCCACCTGCTATTCCCACTTTGCTACCTTCAAATATCGATCAATCTATTGACCGGACTTCTCTATTCCCTGATTCTTACCCCGTTTAGGACTCGCCGCGCTAGTAATTTGATTCGAATGTTCCCGTCGTCGTTATTGTTGCTGCTGTTGCTGGTCCCACTGCCGCTTCCGGCTTCGCAGGTCGCATGATGTTGTGTTGGTTGATTGAACTTTTGCGGTCGTCTTCCAAACGATTTATGGCTGTTGGCGGTGCCCTTCCTGGAAAGGATAGAAAGCATAGAGCAGGGTACCGGATATTAGTGAATTGTTCGAACTTTTCATGGGATGGCGGTGGAGGGATACTTCTATTAATTTTCATTAAGTTTAATTTACTATAACGGCTGTGTGCTTCGAGGCTCACACTCGAAAGGTAACTCTTGAACAGGAGTAAAGACGATGAGCTAGTTCCTAGGAAAGGAAAGAAACATGAAAATAAAACAGAATGTTGAAAGTTGAACAGGCTATGTAGTCGCAGGAGGCGGCGGGATGGCGTGGAATGGAATTAGGGCGCATCGCGTGGCTTCCACAGAGGAGAGTGTGACAAGGGAAATGGAACGGGACGAAGGATTGTCTGTTGTTCCATAAATATCAAATTACAAATTTTGTACCAGGGTGGATCGCGTGCTCGCGGGGATTGAATTCGGTATCATTGGGATTGGGGAGGAACGGTGGGCATGGAAGGAAATGCTCAACTTTGAAATATGTGGTGCAGGCGAATGACACTGTGTGATGGAATTTCGGGGGAGAAGTGTGGGGCAAGCTCGATTTAATGAATACATTTTGATGAGTTAAAAGTGTTACAAAAAGTAACTTGATTGTGACGTGAAGAGCACTACCGAATCCATTCATAAAAAAGCCTAGATCAACAATTTGCTTAAACGCTTAACCTACCCATCAAAGCGTAAACAAAGTCAAAACCACATAAAAACGCCCCACTTGCCTTGTTCATATATGTATTTAGTAGTCACGTGCATCGGTTGTTCTCGCGACAGACGCTAACCAAGTCGTCACGACAGCTTTTTACCACACAACATCATCACAGCCTACTGAATGCATGTATGTATGTACGTCGTACGTAAAAGTACTCACACCCAACGTCTAAGGCGCGCTTAATTACAGTCCCCACCGTCGACCGCGAATAGTTGTCGTTCAGTCGGTAGTCATCAATTAGTGAAACGCACTGATTAAGGGAGTGCTGTCTAATTGATAGAACCGCTTGCTCTCCAAGCGGCAGTTCCTACAAGATACAGTTATGAACGACAACCGTGCAACCGTTTTGCATCTTGATTCTTTGATCGTGTTATTAACAGTATCGCGCTAACTTTGACTTGTCACATTTCAAATGCTCGTTCTGTTAACTGTACTGCGCTGGTGGTGAAAAGCACTTATAAAAATAACTTATCATGCCGAGACTGTTCATTATATTAAGCCAATGTCGAGGATGTGTTTGCCAACAAACAATAACCACTGTGTCATTCTCGGTTGATGTCGTTGCCGGGCGAGGCGTATGTGATTAATATCCGGCGTTATCTGAGCTCGATACTGGAGATGAAAGTACCTATTATTTTCGTTGTATGAGAATCTGATTTGCACGGTGGCCTTTTCGGGGGCTTATTTGGGAGTCAAAGTGATTAGTCAAAAGTATTGAACCTCGCCTGCTACAGTCGAATCATTTCCTGAGCAGCTAATAAATTTTGATAAGCTTTTATCGGGCGGTGCGCGATGCCTACTTGGACCACTCGAGCAAGCGTTCAGAACAAGTGTGCATATATTTACAGCGGTAGACGTTCATATGGATGCACTTTGATTTCCTTGAAACTCAGTCTACATTTTAATTTCAAAATTTCCTAAAACTACCCTCCCCATGGCTAGTTTTTGCACTTTGTTGTTGCTTGGTGGGCTCAATTTCATGCTTTATAGTGGAGTGTTGGAGACGGTAGGTTTATGGCTGGCGTTGTTGGCTCATGTTGCGATAGAATGGCGCCACGGGCAGGCGATGGGGATTACTAAGCTTCCCCTCTCTGATGAGAAAACCAAAGATCTAGTCTAGCAGTGATAGTATCACACTTGTTACTCCTTTATTGAGAGCCGCGTTGTAGTAAGCTTACGTATAGGCACTACCGTTGGGTGCGATACTTGCGGGATTTTCCGCAAATCACGCTTATTTTATTTATGTTTACTCAGATAGATTTATTTGGGTTTGCAAGGGAATTATACTATTGAAATATTTCTGAAAGTGCCCAACAGTGCTCCTTCTATTTGCGTCAAAAGCTTTCATTGTTGTTTTCATTGAAGTATTACTCAGGGAACAATGTTAAACGCCATTTTTGTACATGATATTGTAACTAACCTTATATATGCTTCATTTTGATTTGGGATAAGTGTTTGAACTATGGCTCGGGATTTTCACTGTGGCGTGCTTCTATTGTGACACACCCATACATATTTTTGTGGTGCGACATAGTGGAAACGTGTGAGCATAGTTGGAGCATATACCCTGTATAATTAAAAAAAATCAGCTAGGAAATTAACTTCAAAGTGAAGCATTTTAGTCACTTGAAGGTGTCACCTGGGTCGAACTAAGATATAATAAATATAGGTCAAAGTCAAAAGTACTTGAAAACCGTTTAATTTTAGATTACAAGCACAAGTGTAAGTACTTAAAAAAGCATGGGTTATGATTGATTAGGTGAATTAGAGATTTCAATTATGTATTAAATTAGACTAATGAGATATCATAACCATCAAATGAACTTAAATAAAAAAAACTTCTTCTTCTTCTTCTTCTTCGCATTTCAAGCTTATTGCATATCGCATATTAGTGCTCTCAACTTAGTGTTCTAGATACACTTCCACAGTTATTAATTGAGAGCTTTCGATGCCTGTACCATTTTTGCATTGGTATGATTGTGTGGCAAGTCCAATCATACTTCTATGCCCAGGGAAGTCGAGAAATTTTCCAACCCGAAAAATTCTTAGACCGGACCGGGAATTGAACCCAGCCACCTCCAGCATGGTCTTGCTTTGTAGCTGCGCCTTTACCGACTGAGCTAAGGGAGGTCCCATAAAAAACTTCAGAAAGTCTAATAAATTAAGTAGATTAACAAAAGAATTAGGATGCTTACGCTTAGGGAGGCAACAAACCTTTAAAGTTGTAGAATAAATCTTCCTATTTAGTATATAAGAAAACACAAGCAGATCAATAGCATTAAGCAGATTAACAAGGAGATGAATAGTTTAGGAAATAAGTAAAATTAGAGGTATGTGGCAATTAATAACTTTTAATCTGCTGTAGGTACTTTTTTCCCATGAGTTTATTGTACTCGATTACTATATTATTCTCTAAATACGCGAAATCTCTGATATATGCGGTTAAAGCATTAGAGTTAATCTATGAACTAAACCCTACGTGACTTATGTAGGATTTGATGCATATTTAACTTTTCGCGGCTGTCGGAATCAACGCGCCCATGTCTACGGAGCTTACTCAGAAGTGATTCGCAATTCGGTAGATGCTTGCCAAAAGTTTTTTTTAGCTTATGTAGCTTAAAATTTGTTCGGTACGCTCGCGAAATTTTGAAATGATTGATACGTGTGGTAAAATAACTAAATTGAAACAAAGCTCAATAGTTAAAAAAGTAGAATATCTAGGGAGGAAACCAAATCAATAATCAACTTGCCAACATAGGCTATCACATTTACTTTAGTGGCACTCTTTAAGTGATAACTAGTTATTTTTTTCTCTACGGTTGTCTCGCGTGGCGTTCGCAGTTTGCGCGATTTTCGTATCTTCCGTAATTTAGATGTTTAGCTCTAAACGGTTTTACTGACTCGAGGTCTTTCGTTAAGCGGTTTTGGTGCATGTTAAACCTTTGGCGGCTGTCGTATTCAACGCGCCTACATCTACGGAGCTTACGCAGAAGTGATACGCAATTCGGTAGAGCTTGTCAAACGCTTTTGAGCTTATGTAGTATAGAATTTGTTCGGTACGGTTGCGAAATCTTGAAATGATTGATACGTCTGTTAAATTAACTAATTTGATACAAAGCTCAGTAGTAAATAAGTAGAATATAGGCTATCACATTTATTTTGGTGGCACTCTTTAAATGCTTTTTTTCTTCCATAACTATCTTGAAACAATACACACGGAATCCAGTGTTCAAGCTGTCAACATAGGCTAGTCCTTCTGCTGAATTGTTAATGATAGAAACAAAATTTATTGAGAAGGGTCAAGTCTTGAAAACTAAGCTGTCACGCAGCTCCAGCTTGATGCAAAAAAAACCAAACCCAAAACTACACTCAATATAATCTTCACGTTAATGCTACGTGAAAACTTACATAGATTTTTTCCATCCCCCGTTTCACGTAAGCCTTATGTCATTCTCATATGGATGCACTCATTTGAAGCTCACTGTATTACTCTATTATCACGTAGAAGTTACGTGATTCTTCTTATATTTTTTTGCAGGATGATCGAAGTATGCTTTGGCCGCGAATGAACGTGTTTATTTTCACTGTCAATTTTTTCGCTCGTTTCGTCTAAATTTTGAAAATGTTGCAGTGTAGTGTTGAACAACTTAACTTGAACAATGTGAAAATATGAAAGGATAGCTACCGAGTGCCGCGGAACTCCTTATCATGACCGAATCGTGCGCTGCGCCCATGTGTTATGCATATGCAACGGTTTATCACGGAGTTTAATGTGTGCCGAAGCCCGAACCGAAGCCTTTATATTCTTGGACCGTAGGATTTGTAATGATAGATACTTTACCTGTTAGCCAGTCTGCAGCCAACCGAAAATCAACTGAACTAGGAATTTCACGGACTGTAATATGAAGATTTCAAGTTTTCTGGTGTCAAATTCAAAATGGTCGGTGAATCACGAAATGATATGCAAATCGTAGAGAAAAACAAAACTACGAAACTCATGGATTGGAGGAACAAAAATACTTGCCAGGATTCGAACATTTTGAAGCTGGAAGTGTGAGTGTATTTAATACTAATATTCAATTGATAAAGGTAATACATACATGTGGGGCTTACTGTAAGTGAAAGTAACCCCGGAATGGGTGTGACCCTACAGACATTCTGAAATGGGTTTCTGGATCTGCAATAGAGCTCTCACCTTCTAACCCAGGCAGGTGGATTCAAAAGATCATAATAAGACTCAATGGAAAATATGGGACCCAACAAAAGTATCTAAGTTCAGCGCAGAACAA